CCATCCCACATCGCGGCCTGGGGAGATGCTGGGCGCTGGGGGGGCTCGCCCTTGGCTCCGGCAGCCTGAGGATCCCGGGGTGCCGGCCTCTTCTCTACAGAACGGCCCGAGAGGAAAATCCATCGCTGCTCAGGTTCCCACGAGGCTCTTTGAGAGGACTTCCGTGTCCAGTGCCCTCGGAAGCCTGGGCTGCCCGGTCACCAGGTCCACTCCTTGTCTTTCTTCCCTCTCTGGCGCCTCAGATTCAAGTTTCCTCCCCAGACCCGGACGTGGCCTTGGGTGCGTCAGCCTCTGGGATTCAGGGGGCGAAGGCACCACAGGGAAGGGCGGAGCACAGCTTCCCTGGAGAGGCCTCCCTGGAGCTCCGGACACGCATCTCCCACCGCTCCGGGCGGCGCTCTCAACCACCACCTACTGCCTGGGCTGGGCCAGACCTCTGGGTCCCGAACGGGCCCTTCTCCCGAGGGGCGATGCTCTGCCACCCAGCCACCCAGGTGTGAGACCTTGGGAGCTTCCTGCGCTCCTTCTTCTGCTGGTGGGCGGACCCTGTGGAGTCCACTCCCTTGATGTCTCCAGCCAGCCCAACTTCTATCCTCCCTGGTTTCACCCGGACTAGGACAATGAGACTCCCAAGGGGTCTCCCCTATGCCAACGGTGTACTCGTCAGCCCAGGGTCTCGGCCTAGCTCTGTAGGAGGCACTTGACTCACGTTCCGTCCAATCCTCAGACCCAGTAAGGCAGCACTTTTTGCTTGGGGCAGGGACGGTGCGGTGGATTCTGCCCCGGCAGGGGACACTGGCAATGTCTGGAGACATTCTGGGTAGCAAAACTTGGGGAGGGGGGTGCTGCTGGCATCTGGGGGCCGGGGCTGCTCCTACACACCCTGCAGCCCACGAGATGGCCCCCAGGATAAAGGCGCAACGATCCAATCGTTAATAGTGTCACGGGTGGGAATCCCTGATGCCAGGGGAGCTCCATTCTCCCCCCTTTCACAACTGGGGAAACTGAGGCTCTGTGCAGCTAAGCGGTTTCTCCAAAGTCACCCAGCTGTAACTGGTGAGGCCCGAAACTCACAACCGTGTCTGTCTGATTCTAGGGATCCCATAGATTCTTTCCGGCAGGCTCATCCCAACGCTCTTCTCCAAACCCAAAGGTTCTCGGGCTTCTCCCCTTGCTTTCCACAGCTCTGACCGCGTGTAACACAAAATACAAGCTCCCCAGTTGGGCATTCGAGGCCCATGTGGTGGAGCCCAAATGGGGGGTCTCCACCATTCGTGCCCCTACACTCCCTTCCCGCCGCGTACGTCCCACTGCCGACCACCTGGGGTTTCCGGAACACAGCCTGAGCAGGAGTTGCACACGCGCTCCCTGCAGAACGTCCTGTCTACAACACCCCTTCCCACGCCCTTCAAGGCCTGCCCAGAAAACACCGTCCCCGACGTGGGGCCAGCCAGATACCCTAAGCCACCATCCATCTCTCTCTGCCCCTGTTTTCTTTTCTTTTCTTTTTTTAATTTTTTTAATGTTTATTTATTTTTGAGACAGAGAGAGACAGAGCATGAACAGGGGAGGGGCAGAGAGAGAGGGAGACACAGAATCCGAAGCAGGCTCCAGGCTCTGAGCCATCAGCCCAGAGCCCGACGCGGGGCTCGAACTCACGGACCGCGAGATCGTGACCTGAGCTGAAGTCGGATGCTTAACCGACTGAGCCACCCAGGCGCCCCTGCCCCTGTTTTCTAAGATGATCTTGACCTCCACCGGAGCCTTTGAAGTAGGCTGCCTCCCAGGCTCCCCAACAAGCCTGCGGACTACCACCTCTGCGTGGCCCATGCGGCACCTGTCAAGTCCCACTGACTGAGTTGAATCCACTCGTCCATCCGGCCGCACCTTAAACCGTCGAGCCCCATGGCTGACTCGTGCAGGCCATACCCTTCTGAACTCTGGCTGTTCTACCCACTACCCTTCACCTCTGATGACCGACACCAAGGTCTAACACCATCCCTCCATATGGTTCCCTTGACTTCATCTTTCCTGCGCGCTCAGAGGCCCCTGACCAAAGCAAGCCGGGGCTGCTGGTCCCTGTTTGTGTCCTGGGCTGGAGACCCTTTGTGCCAGGTGTCATTTCAGAAACAGGCAAAAGCACAGGCCGGAGGGCAGGGGTCTCCAGCCCTACAGGGGTGAGGCTGAAATGCACACGGCATCTGCCTTTCCCCATTTCTACAGCCTATCTTGTGCCTATCCAACATCAGGGCAGGAAACAGACAATCCCAACAGAGCACAGCCTCACTCCTTCAGGCCAGGCCATCCTGAGCTTGGGCCCCCAAGGAGCTGGGACACGTGGCCTTCCAGGCAGCCCTTGCTCCCATAGGGTGGCCTGTGCCTCCTCCTAGTCCTCAGACCCTGTCTCCCCTCAGGAGGATCTAAATCGTTAATCGCACTTGATAAAGCCAATCCCAGCCCCATATGGCCGGACGTTGAAAACCGCTGATGTACGACATTTAGTTTCTGGAAGCTACTTCCAACCAGGCTAGGATGTCTCAGCTCTGATTGGGGTACAAGTTGAGGTTTTAAAATCTCAAGGTCTTGTGATTTTGTGGTGCCTGAAAACCTCAGGAGTTAAAAGCTAGAAGGAACCTGGAGGCTGGGATAGCTCTTCATTCTCCTCTGACAGGTGAAGACGCAGGCCTGGCTGCTCGGGCGCTGCTGGATGAGGCCGAGCTACGACCAGTCTTCCCGCCTCTCAGACTCACGCCATCCCATCAGGCCCTGTGACCTCTCCATCGCGTTCGCTTCGTCGTCTCTTCCCTGCCAGAAAATACAGCGAACCAGGCATCCTCCTTCTGCCCTTTGCGTCTCCTCCGAGCGGTGTCGCCACTTGGCCTTGGCCGTCAGTGATTTGGCGCTTTTCAATTAGGGGCTCGCGCTGTGGTCCGAGGATGAACACAGGGGTGCCTGGAACCCTTCTGCAAACGGTTAACATTTCTGGGTGCGTGTATTTTTCTGCAAAGATGGTCTGTAACTCCAGATTCTCAAAGAGGTGAGGAACTTACTCCTTCAGGCTTTAGATCAGTGAGTCTCAAAGTGGGGTCGCCCGACCAGAAGCAGCATCCCTGGGGAACTTGGGGAGAAGTACGGATTCTCGGCCCCACCCTGGACCTGCGGAATCGGGATCAGGCGAGGCCCGGGCAGCTGTGTGTTAGTGGGCCCTAGAGGTGAGTCTCTTGCATGCTAAGACAGAACTATTGCTCTGGAGGTAGCCACGGAACAAGTGCAGCCTGCTACTGCCACTTCCTGTCACCAGGTCAGCTGTGGAGTCTGGGGCCTCTGGCTCTGTCCTCCTCCATAGCCTGGTGACGTCTCTAGCCTCCTCTCAGAAGCTGAGCCCCATGGAGCAGGCTCACTGAAGGCAACCCTCCTCCCTACCGCACCCCCCCCCAACCCCGGCTCTTGGCACAACAGGCCACAGGAGGAAACCCAGAGAGACTCCCCAGCCGGGCTAGCCTCTCTGTTTAACCAGGGTGACTGTTGGCCCTCCTGTCTGCAGTGTTTTATCCACGGAGCAAGCATCTGCCTTGAGAGGAAAACTTCTGGACCCGGTGAGCGCTTAATCTTGAATGGTCAAGTCAAGGGAGAGGCTCAGGACCCAGCCAGCATCAGGATGCTTAAAGACGGACTGACCCATATTCTCAAAGGTCCTGTGGATTTAGGTTTGGCTCTCTGGGCTAAAATGGTCCTTCAGGTCAGTCTCATTTTGATTCCAAACCCCAGCTGCCTCTGTGGGCGAGAAGGCAGGCAAGGTGGAGCTTCTGGCCTCTCTGATCCATAATCCAGACCCCAGGCCTCTTGGACACTGGGACATAGGCTGGCGGCTCCCGCAGACTCGGCTGGCATCTCTGAAGGAGGTGTCGTAGCTGTCGGGGGTCATGGCCACTTCTCCCTCCATGCCCCTGAAAGTGGACAGAGCTTGTCCAGAGAGGTGGGTAAGGCTCCGAATGTGCTAAGGAGCTACAGAGCCAGCAAGAGAAGACCTCACAGGGAAAAGGGGAAAAGGGAACAAGAAAAGCAGAAGGAGGGAGAACAGGAGACGGAAGAGGACTGGCTTCCGTTCTGGACAGCGAGAGCGAGGAGGCCGAGCTGTAGCCCTGCCCCAAATCAATACACCAGCACTTAGAAAATGCCCACTCTGCACAGGGCGCCCCGAGGCAGTACTGGGCTGAGTCGCCAAGAGCCACCCACGGCTCTCCCCGGGCTGCCTCTGGCACGGGCTTCCGAACGCCTTTCCCCACCACGGCCCTTTGAGCATCCCCACCCCCACCCCACCTGACCTCTCACAGCAGGTTTCCAGCCTGGACCAGTGGCAGGGAGAGGAACTGGGCCCTCTCACAGCGCAGTGTGCTGCTGGGGCTCTAGAACCTTCGCAGAGGTCTAGAGACCACCCGTGTCCCAACCCAGAGTGGTCTCCCAGGGACTAAGGCAGAACCACTGTCCCACTGAAGGGTCACCTGTGGCCCAGCACTGTCTGGAATAAGCCCTCTGCTGAGTGGCCTTTGTTTCTGCTGGTCAGCGACTGGGCCCTAGGGCTTGCCGACGGACAAGGGCAGTGGGGCGGCAGAGCTCCATGGGGGAACCAGTGTCTCTTCTAGGCTGAGGAGCGCAAGGGCTTCGCTCCAGAACAGTGACTGGCCTGGGAAACTCTTGTTAAGAGTTCTGCCAACAGGAGACTCCGAACAGCTCCCGTGGCAGGGGGCCTTTCCTCTACTCAGGCCTTCTCACCAGGAAACAATGATGCCCCTGGGGCCCACTGAAGTCTGGAGACATCCTGGTCATCGGGGCTGGGAGGGGGTGATGCTGCTGGCATTGAGTGGGTAGGGGCCACAGAGGACACAGCTCCACAGAACAGAGAATGAACAGCCCCAAATGCTAACAGTGCCAAGGCTGGGAAACGTTGGTCTGGAACCTACCAAATCCCTGTAGCCCTGAGGTTTTGAGAGGGGTGTTAGGAGGCAAGGAGCCCAGGTCGGGTCGGAGAGATCACGGATACACTCCTACCGGGGGGAACAGAGACCAAGGGCGGGGCAAGGAGCCCGGGCAAGGTGGGCCCAGCCACTGCCCCGCCCTTCTCTAGACCGTGACAGACAGACCCCGGCATCATACACAGACCCCTGCCCCCAGATCCAGGAGATCGAGGCGTCTGGCGTTACTGGCTGTCTGCTGCTCCAGCCCCAGGAGGGCTCCTGGCTTCTGGACCCTCTCCCTGTGAGCCCCGAGACAGACGGACAGATGCAGAGATGAGCTGTGGCGGGGCTCCTGGGGCCCTCGGGACTCACCTGTCCGGTAGCCTGGCCCGAGCCGTCCGAGCACACAAACTGCACAAACTCCTTCAGCGAGTCCTGCCCGTGGTGGTGGTGGTAGCGGATGGTCGGGTGCGTGAAATACGGGCTCGACTGCTGGATGATGGACGTGGAGGGGAAGTGCAGCGCTGATGCTGTGGCCCGAGGGCTCCCTGCGTGTACATGAGCGGGAAGAGAAGGGCATCAGGGCCCGGGAGGCGGGTGGGGGGCC